AAAAGAGTCTGAAAAATAGAACTGGCGTCTGCATGACACTCTCATTTCTCAGTCAGCAGAGAGTTCCCAGTTTTGCAGTTGCAATCCAAATTATTACAGCTGCAATCTGGAAACCCAGGAGCGCAACACTCCAAGTAGTTGTGGGTTTAGAGGTTCCCCTGAGGGACTGCTCTGGTGCTGTGCAGACATGGGTGGATAAAGAGCAACAGCCTGCATCTGTGGAGCAATCCAACGAGTCTCAAAAGTCCTGATATTTTAAAAATGTGGTTTAAGGAAATTGAGGGTGCATGATTGTACCCGTTTATTCATTGTAAAAACAACAAAAAAAAATGAAGTCCTGTGCAGACACTTAATGCACCGATCTGGAAAAACATGAGTTGGGGACTACAAAGTGGGAGGATAAAAAGAATGGATGGATGAATTTCTACTTTTATTGATGGATAGATGAGAAAGTCAGAGTGTCATTCTCTTTGTGATGAGAGTTCCAGTTGGAGAAATAGCTTTCAGAATGACCATCCCTACAAAGGGTATTCATCCGAGGCTCTTGAAAAAGCATTATGATCACAATGCACCACAGGAAACGGACCACCATTTTACAGTGCCAAATTCACGTTAATGAAATTTGAAAAACAAGTTAATAGAGTAACGCAACAGAATCTTAATGCATGACCACACAACCAGGGTCGGTGGAATCGATGGCTCAAGGATCACTTTTGGAGGTCCTTAACCATCAATCTTCTGATTACCAGGTTTTAAACAATCACATGACTGTATGTTTATCATTAACATCAACAGGAATTCAAACTGTAAGATGTACATTATGTGACTAGGGATGTAACGATTCACTCAACTCACAATGTGATACAATTCACCATACTGATATCACGATACAATTTTCTCATGACTTTTTTTTTTAAGAAAATGAGAACTGAAAAGGTCTTTATTATTTGTCAGCAGTATTAAATGCTGCACATTTCTTTGCGAAATTTAAATGTCACATAACAAAACTAAATTGAAATTTTAAAACAAATCCCAAATAAATACATACAAATAAAAGAAATCCCTTCATATAAACAAACCAAGGCTTTGCTTGTGCTCTTTCCATTTAAAATTAGAGGCAACTAGTGGTCGACCGATATTGTTTTTTTGACAGCCGATATCTTGGAAAGCAGGGTGGCCGATGGCCGATATAAAGCAGATATAATTTTATTTATTTTAATTAATATTTAAGAAATTTGAAATCATTTGGAAATGGATAAAAAAAATAAATGTGCAAAATAAGCATACTTATAATTTAGATGACAAAGTATTTTTCACAAATAAATAAATACTTAATAAAACAAATATAATAAAGGAAATAAACACTGTAACCAACAGGGCACTCAGTATTCTGGGAAGTCTGTGTGCATTGGAAATCATATTTTTTTTTCCAAATAAAGCCAAGGTAACACTCATTTTACATACAGCACACAGTGGAAATGACATGAATATGGCAGTGGGCAAATGCATAAAGCGCAGCATAATTTGAAATCACGAGTTTAAAGTTTGTCGATCGCGCATCTCCAGTGAAGCTGAACTCTCCACCTGTCCGCATTCAATTTGCACGGACCGAAAGTCATGCAGAGAACACGCGATCATGCAGGATACAAATGCACACTTCACAAGATCTCACAAATGGATCCGACTAAGTTTGCAAGGTTTGTGAAATTAAATGTTCATTAGTCATTCAAAGATTTGTTTAAATTATATAAATGCATATTTGCTGAATGCTGACAGCAAATAAGAAAGTATTATAATGTTTGCCTTTCTATTACTAATAATATAAAAGCAATTATGATACTTTTTGTATACATTTTAATTCCTTTGTTTAACCGTTCTATCTGATTATTAGACAGACTTGTATCCGTATTAGACAGAACAAGAGGGAAAATGTGAGCACTGTGTGTTCAGGCACTGCCGTTCTCAGCGCCGTCAAAATAAAAGTCCGATGCGCCTCGAATGCATCGGCCAAACAGGAAAACTTATCGGCTGATGCCGATATTTAAAAAATGCAAAATATCGGCCGATATATCGGTCGACCACTAGAGGCAACCACTGCATTTTAATCATGATCCAAACAAAGATGCTGCATAAATGTAGCATAAGTTTTTTTATTTAAATTAGATTGTATAATTTCAAAATTTAAAGCAAAAACAGAATGCTCTGACTTTAGCTTTGTGAAACTATACTACTGCATGAGAAAGCAAATCCATATAGGATAAGCGGTTTTGAGGATGGAAAAATGGATGGATAGAATTGTTTGGATCTTCAAAAGTGGCCAATCATGCCAGAATGGACCTGAATGAGATTTTGCAGTTGATGATGAAAATATGAAATACTAAGACCATTTTCTTTGGAGTAATATCAAAAGTATAAAGGGTCAATTTTTTGATTTCATATAGACTTGAACATGACCTAACGAACAATCCGCTATATGATCTCAGCATAAATTCCCTGCTTTGTGACTTTAAATACAATATTTTTATGGCCCTAACCTTTGCAGTAATAACTATGGTAGGGGGATTTCTTTTACAACTATGTAACGTGGTCATTAACAACCTTTGGGAGTTTGTTCAATCACAACTGCATCATAATTATTCTTGAATACAGAAACAAATAAACCACCGATCTAATGAGGGTTTGATTCTCAACTGTAGAGTCCTGCATCTCTGAAACCTGGAAGACATCAGAGGGAGTCTGTAACTTGTTAAAACTCATTGAAAATGGCCTGCCCAATTGCTTCAAGAGCTAAAGAAAGTGGGACTAAAATACCAGTGCAGGATTGTGGCAGATGTCCTGGCACCTCACTGTAATTTGATATTTATATAGGCAATTATATCACCTCAGTCAGCCTGCAGGCATCCATGTTTCTATCGTAATGAAGCCCCATCATAAATCAACTCGAACTCTCGTGTTTTTTGCATGACACATGTTAACAGTGAGAAATGCCATTTCTCCACTTAAGATGGGTGAAAGAAAGTAGGGGTAGAGAAAGGCTGGACCAGCACGAGTATGAAAAGTGCAATCTACTTTGTGGTCATATTTCTTCTCTCAGCATTAACATCTCTCATCTAGCCAAATCCAGCTGCTCCTTAGACTCACGATTCCAAAAACAGTTTTTTCTTTTCACATTTTTGTTATGACTTCATTAAACTTGTATGTGGTGCTCGAAGCTGTGGAATAGTGGTTAAAACACATGCTCCAGACCTTCTGAGCAGTGGTGCTCATGTGGGAGACAGGTTTGAATCTGGCCACTGATAGGAAGCCTTAGCTGTGTTTATGATCAATGTGCATGACAGTGGCTGTGAAATTTGTGTTTTAGGTATTGAAATAACATATTTTGAGTTTTGATATTTGGAATATGGTCATTGCGCTACTTTGGGCTATTTTTGTCACGCAGATCTGGCAACACTGGCTGTATGGAGCAGAGCAGACACTTTCAGTTTAGAATTGTAGACCAAACACCGTGTAAAACAGACTACCATAGCAAGCCTAGTGTTTATGCAACTCCATTCTTGTTATGCCCCAAATTGCGGGATGGCAGGGCCTGCGATGTATTTTTTTGACTGCACACTCCCGCCCACAGTAAAGGTAAAACCGCCCGCTCCCCCAAAATCTGTGTTTGGGTCCCGCAGGACCAGTGGGATCCCAATCCCAATGCAGCCCTCTAGAACAGTGGTTCAAGATGGTATGGGACACATTTCAATTCATAGAGTTCTAGTTCCCGATTCTTATCTATTTTCTCACTTTCAACTCTCAAGTGCATTCACTAATTCTTTAACAAGCATATACTTTTAGTACCGATACCACAATGTAATGGTGGCTCACAATGGTGGTTCAGCATGATAATTTCCTTCATGTAAATAAATGTTTTATGTAAATTACATTGATACTGGTGATTTTCAGAGAGTGGTCTACACAATAATGAATCCCCTTACCTGTCCAACAAAAAAGCAGCAACACTACTTTATATTTTTATACTCTTTCTTCAGACCTATTCTGCTTCTTTGGCCCACCACACATAATTAAAACACTTTTTTTATAGAAAACTATGAGTACCGTCTTCACCTCATGTGAGTGTACACCATTCAGATGAAATGTCACAAAAATGTTTTAATATGTAAAGCATTTTAACTTAGCACCAAACTAATGAAATGAAAAAAACTTGGACATTTTTTGTTAATTTATTCACTTAGTAGTATAATGGATAACCAAGCTCCCATGTCTAGTTGCTCTAGTACTACTGTAGCATATTGGTCATGTTTTAAAGAGGGCAAATTAAAGATAGGTATCTCTTGAAAAGGGCCCCTGGCTCTGGGATCGCTGTGGGTTATAGGCCAATTCAAAGCACATAATGAGGGATACCATGTGTGCCATTCACTTGGTAATACACAGTAAATGGTGAAAATAATCTGTTGTACTGAGCATTGGATGCTAGCAAATTGGCGGAAATGGGTTGAAGAATGGTGCGAATTACAAAGGGGTTTGCAGGGGGATCTGACACCTAATTAAGGCTTGAACTTCCCAAAGTCAAGTGTCTTAAATTGTACGCATGTTAACAGTTTTAACTCTGTAACCCAAAAAAATGGAGATTACAAGTCAGAGAGTGTAATTATTTTAGACGCTTGTGAACAGAGGAGGCATTTGCCTTCAGTAGTAACCATAGCAACTGTGGGCTGCTTGAGCATTAGTATCAATATCAGACCAAAACTAGAACTATCATTATCTATAACTATTATTTAAATTTACTAAGGCTGTAAAATTGGTTAAAACTGTAATCAGACCAATTGCATAATATGTAGATTTTTTTTTTTAATTATACTAAATGAACAAGTTAATGTGACAGTTTTTATGCTTAAAATGTTTAAAGATGGTTGCTGTTTTCTGCCCCCTTTCTGCCTCAGCTGATGGCAATAAAATCACTTGATACATTAAGAAACAAACAAAAAAACCAAACCCACCTTGGTGCTAGCCACACCAATCTCTGGGCCAGCATTGATGTGAACGCCACAGTCTGTTTCTCTGGAGATGGAGCTGCCCACAGTGTTGGTGATGCCCACCGTCAGGGCACCTCTCTCCTTACAGTAGCGCAGAGCCAACAGGCTGTCTGCTGTCTCTCCTGAACACACAAGTTCAGATGACTGTCCTGTCTCAAAAACATATTATATAACACACACACACAGGCACACAAGCCAACCTGACTGGCTGATGAAAAAGCACACGTCATCTCGGAAGACAGGAGTGTTTCGATCCAGGAAATCACTCGCCAGCTCCACCATGACAGGAAGTTCAGTCAATTCTTCCAGTACTTGACGAGTCTAAGCGAAACACAGAACCAGCATGAACCAATTATTATGTTGTAATCAGACATGATCATAAAGACATTACTGTTGTCTATGTAATTTTTTTTAATCATTTTTTTTTTTAAGTTTTAAGTTCTGAAACTTACAGTATGTTTTCACAACACGAACTCCAATGTCAAAAGATCATGGAAAAAATAGATTTTTCCTTTAAATGCTGAATTTAAACTTGTACACATCTGTGGCCCCCTTCACACCTGACATTAACATGTGTTTCATATCTGGACAATCTTCAGCTGGATTGCATTTACACCTTGGATTCCAAGTCTCCAGTGTAATCAGATTTCAAAATGTTGTCTGTCATATGACAGATAATAATAAGATATCTAGTCTATTGCGTTTCCCTACTAGAAATTGTGTTATGCGAGACATGAGTGAAGATTCAACACAGACTGACTGCAACACAAACAGTTTTTGTGGGGTTTGCGGAATTAAATATTTATTAGATATTTACACTGTCTATTACTAGTAACAGAAAAGCAAACACTATCAATATGTTTTCATTTACGGTTTACTTTCTTTAACATTTTAATTTAACACTGCATTTGAATTTTGACAAATGATTTATTAGCCAAAAATGCTAAACAAAGAAATCTAATGAGAATGGAGAATAGGAGCTCCGATGCATCTGTGCTCAGATGCTGATGTTCTGAGTGTCATCATAATAAAAGTCCTGCTTCTGAACTTTATGAGGTAAATCGAAAAACTTAGATACTTAAGAAATAATGAATAATATATTGATATATCGGCCTTGGTGATATATTGGCCAACCACTAATTACTTTGAAAACTAACTTTTCAAATATAATATTCTGTAGCATTTAAATGTTGTTAGCTGTGCTTAACCAGCTCCAAATGTGACGTCGAAATGTGTCTTCAGTGTGTGCGATCCATTTGCTGGAAAACCCATACTAATGCCAGGTTTGTTTAATGATGTACATACTGCAACCCCAGCATGGTAACTGGTCCCACAGGCAATCATTATGAGCCTCCGACATCTCTGGATCTCTTTAATGTGGTCTTTCAATCCTCCCAAGATCACTGCAAACACACATACACATAAGTTAAGAAAATCCAGTATACAAGTAGAAAATCAGCTATTCCCAGTAAGTTCTGTTTCACAATTCACTATGAACTTTTAAAGGAAGCAGATTAGCCAGAAACTTGCTACAGGGCTCGACAATAAGGAGTGATTGTGAAAAGACGCTCGGGACAGTTGACGGATTTGTCACTGGCCCGATCGGGCCACTGCTGCATCGTCACGAAATGTTTATCATTTGCATGTGTTTTTAAGCCTTGTTAATTTAAAAATTCAAGCGATTTTAAATAATTCTTCAAGACGCAAGACGCAAAAGACAACTCCATTCAGTACTGCATCTTGCGCTTGCGAACAGACAAATACATACAAGTATGTCAAAATGCTCATCTTGGCGAGTAACATTGTAGCTTTAACAATTATTAACCGATATTTAATTTATACGAATTAATCAATATTTAATTATGTGTGTCATTTTTTGTTTTATTTCAACTGATCTCTGTTCCGGGCTTGCACACAAACTGCATTGCAATCATTTTCCAAAATGTAATTTGTGTGGAAATATTTCGAAGTCAGAGGCCAGAGACGCTGAAGAAACACAAAGAGGAGAAAATACTGTAGCAGGCAGCGCAAACTCACTGTTCACAATGCATGCAATATTGGAAGAAAATCCTATTGAATTGGTGGTGGGGGTTTATAGGAATGTATCTCTGAGGGGAACTGTCTTCAGGAAAGTTTACATGGCACTTTCTTTTCATCTTGCATCTGTAATGCATATTGAAGTAGTATTTAGAAGTGCAGCGCTGCTGTGTTTTCAGCGGTAACCAAAGAAACTCTGTTCCAGAAGCGCCACCTGCTGTCAGAGAGTGAATCTGTGTCTCATTCAGTCCGTCTGCTGCTTTTGTTTCATGTTGTATAATTTCACAAAGCTAAGGTCAGACCATTTCTGTTTTTGCTGCAGATTTTCAAATTATACAAATGAATTTGAATCAGAAACAGTACATGTGTGTAGCATCCGTGACTAAAATACAGTGGTTGCCTCTAATTTCAAATGGCTACAGACATTTTCATTCTTTATAGTTTCTAGTTAAAAAAAAATAAAGAAATATATATAAAAAAAGCAATCAGGCAATTTGCTTGATATAAAAAAAAGAAAATAAAAAAAAGGAATCGAATCGGCCATGAAAAATCAAGTTTGGTGCATCACTGAGTGAAGAACATGCAATGTCATTTTACATGTGATTTTGCAGTTTCTGTACCCGAACACCTACAAACCTGTTTAATTGTATCTTTTAAATGAAACACTGTTTAATTTGTATCTTTGTTCTATATATTTAATTGTGTTATTGCTTGTAATTTGTTCATTTGTTCTTATTTATTGACAATTCACTTGTCTTTATGTTTAAACTTTATATTTGTTAGGCTAGTAGTTTTTGCTGTGGTATCGAAATTGGAATCGAGAATTATAAAATTTAATTGGTGTCTAAAATATTGGTGTCATATAAGCTTATTTATTAGAATAAAAGACAGGATAGCTCAAAAACACTGATAACAGGAACTTTTTTTTTTTTTTTGTGGCAGGGCCAGTGAAAATGTTGCCAGGGCAAGTAAAAATTTGAAGCACTGTAGAAAAAACCCTTAGCGTTGCTACTGCGTTTCTCCTGAAATCTGACTCATTGCTAATGAATCCAGTTTTACTGACTGATGCAGTTGACTGACCATTCAGTTCTACCAAAGTCAACACATACAGTAAGGAGTCAGCTGGTTCATGTTTGCAAAGACACAAATTGTTCCAGTTAATAATTTTCTTCCAACCGGTCTAGCAATATGTCTAAATTCACAAGAATGTTGAATTCCCTAGAAGCTTTACTTGTGTCTGGTCTGGAAATGACTTGCAGATCTGGCCTCACCTGTGTTGTTCTCAAAGTTAACTCTTCCTCGCATGGTGTTGACCACAGACTCTGGCTGCTCAAAGATCTCCTTCTGCATGAAGGAGCTGAAGTTTCCTGTTTTTAAAGAAGAATCAGAGTGAAGTCAGTAAGTGCTGAAATACTATAGAATATTGTGGTGAAGCACAAAAGGAAGCTTTTAAGTGATAAGCATCACAAAAGCACGGCATTCTGTTGTGTTGAGCAAATTATGGTGCCATATTTTTGAGGAAATGTCATCTGGAAGTGCTCTCGTCTTAAAGGGCATCTGGGAGGTGTCATAAGCCACGGCTGAAAAATCATTATCATAAATATGGGATTAAGAGATTTCAGCCACTGACGCAGAGCAAAACCAAAGCCCTTCATTTTCTGCTCTATAAGAAATTCTTGATTAATTCTTTTCTTTTCTCACAGAATCATTGAATGCGAGAATAACTGAGGGAATGCTATACCCCGAAATTAGGTCATGAGAATTGTATTTATTTTTATTTTTTTCACAATAGTTCAGATGAAATGCAGGGAGGCGCGGAGAAATGGGGTAATGAGAGTGGATGGAGAGATGGAGGAGGAGCAAAAAAGGAGGAGAAATATAAAGCAGTGCACATCTGATGCGATGTACTGCTCTCTGGTGGCCAGAAAGCGAGCACACATTTGCCCTCTGACAAATGTCAGCTCCTCGAAGTTCAACAGTACTAGTGACTGCTATGGTAGATGCACAGCCATAGTCCGTTCACAGAGTGCGTGATTCACACACACAACTGGAAAGCTCCAATCAGAACGCTCGACTGCGATGAAAGTGAGAGGAGAGCAAAGAGATGAAGGTCTCTTCGAACATGTAACAATATAAAATTTCTGGTCACACTTCGGTTTGGGAATCAAGTCTCACTATTAACTAACTATAAACTATGACTTTTGCCTCAAACTCATAATTGGCTGCTTATTAATAGTTAGTAAGGTAGTTGCTAAGTTTAGGTGCGGGGTAAGATTAAGGCATCTAAAATATAGTCATGCAGAATAAGGCATTAATATCTGCTTTATAAGTACTAATAAACAACCAACATGCTAGTAATATGCATGCTAATAAGCAACGAGTTAGTAGTGAGAATTGATCTTTAAAATAAAGTGTTACCAAATTCCGTATGTTCAAAAACGACAAAATGTTCCTGAAATGGGGATTAGTTCATGAAGTTTGAGATGTCTGATTCTGGCATTGGGAAATCCTTTTAGCTATTCGATTTGTCCAGATTGTTTATTTAAAAAAAAAAAAAAACATGCAATAGTGATCCCAAAAGCCTAGCTGTTATATGAAACTGATTGGTTTCCTGAGGGCACGGTGCAAATCAGCATTTAACGGCATAATTTGTGCATTACTGTTACAGTTGCCCTCTTTGATTGATTGAGTCAGTTCTCTCTTAAAGGTTTATATGGCAGAGCTGCATTGAGAAGTTTGTCCATAAACGTCCTGAAAACTTAACCTTACAATCTTAATGTGAGTCACATAGGGTGTGGTTGGCATCTGTGTGTTTCCCCAATGAAAGTTGTGTGTAATCATGTCTAACAGGCTCTTCAATTTCTAAGCAAACATCTCTCAGTGACGTCAGAGGAGTAACCTCAGACTTCACAGGAAAAATATGATTACCAAAATACGCAACACTTCGAACATAGCAAATAATTAGCATGAAGCATAAATAGATTGTGTGTGGGCTGGGTTTTTTTTTCTGTTGCTCAGTTTCACGTCAGT